CAAGTAGGTGCTTTAGACCACTGAGCCATCTCTCCAGCCCCCAGGAGTGATTGTTGATACAGCTCTTGTGCTAAGAAGCCTTGAGCCCCACCTCCTGCCTTTCCCCCTTTGCTACCTCTCCTGTCCTCAGCAGCTCTTCTCCCTCCCATTCCTGGTCCTTCCGCAGTCATGCTGGTCACTAGTGGATCCTACATCACATTAGTTTTTCAGCTACAGTGGGAGCTAGGGGCCCCAGAGTGTCCAGGGCTCTCCTGTCACTGGGAACACCCTTGTTCCCCTCTTGATAGCACTGTATCTCTGTTCTCCAGGCACTCCACCCCAAGTCCCAGGCCCAGTGCAGGCACCGAAAGTTCCTGCTAAGCTTCCAGCAGCCCGTCCATCTGATGCACCCCACAGCATCCCCCACAATGGCTACCGAGAGGAGCCAAGTTACCCCCGGCCGGTCCAGGACACCCAGCCGCCAAAGTCCCCCAGAGAGGTATGTCCTCACGGTCTATCTGGGGCCTCCTGCTTTTGTGTTCCTGTGTGCCAGCCTGTCTGCCTGCCTGCCTTCCAGAAGCCCTCTCTGCCCTCACAAGCCATGCCTAATCTCTGCAAAGATCCCTAGCACCCCTCCATGGAGAGCTGCAAGGGCTGACACCATGGGTGGCAGTTGCTCAGTGCGCATGTGGAACTTCCTCTCCAGCCTTGGCCACCCATTTTCTTCGTTTCCTCTCCTGTCCCTTCTCCCCCACCCATTTCTTTACCCTCTCTCCACTGTCTTTCCTTCTTTGTCTCCCTGAGACCCACTTCCAGACTCTGCTTTCAGCAGCTGGGAGGTCATGTTATCGAGGTCTTCTTGGTGGTCACATGAGATGTTGAGCTGGTGGAGGAACCTGAGGAGGGAGTGGGAGACCATGGGGAGATGGTGGGGCTGGAATTATGAGTAAAGTTTGGCGGAAAAGATGACCAGCTCTGTTGAGTCGGCCATGCAGTGTCCAGAAGGCCCTGGAAACCATGGGGTCTGGACAGAAACTCCTGAAGAAAGGTCTATGTTGTAGTGGGGAGAGCGGGAGAGGAGAGAAGAGGAGAGAGAGAGAGAGAGAGAGAGAGAGAGAGAGACACACACACACACACACACACACACACAGAGACAGACAGATAGACAGGCAGAGGCAGACAGATGACAGAGACAGACCTATCCATAGGGCCAGAGAGGCTAAAGACTAATGGGATATGGTTCCTTTTTTTAAAGTGCTGGGGATGGAACCCAGGGCCTCATGCACACTAGGCAAGCACTCTACCACTGAGCTATACCCCTAGCATCTTGGCCTGTATTTTTCTGTGGACACAAGGTGTACCAATGACCAGAAGCTCTTTTGGTCTGGCTTCAGGGTGTGGCATGTAGAAGGTAGCCCATGAACATCAGCTGCCCTTGGCCAGTTTGGGAATTACAGCTGTCTCATTCATACTTTCTCTCTTTCAAGAGTTCAGAGCAGGCCCTACAGACACCCAGTTCGGGGACTGTCCTGAGGAGGCCCAGTGGATCCTTGGAGCCCTCTTCTAACCTGCCAGCCCTCAGCCCTCTGACACCCAGCAGGCATCAGGAGCAGAACCCAGAACTGAGCAGCACCCACGGTATGCACAGAACATGGTGTTATAGGGCCTCTGACCTTTCAGGTGAGCCCTAAGGTGAGAGATCCCCTGTAGGCTCTTTGGGCAGGAGGCAAGAGTGAAATAAAGGATGTTGCCTCTGGGAGCAACCTGCTCCTTAATGGGTGTACCAGTTAGTTAGCATTTGCTATATAATAAGCAGTCCAAAAATATATTTTTAGTAGCTTAAAATAGAACCATTATGTAGCTGACCCATGGATGACCCAGCTGGGCATTTCTGATTTTGCTGAGTTTCCTCACATGTACCCACCAGTGTATACCTACGCTCTGCTTCAGCCTAACAGCTGGAGCACCTACGTTTACTTCTATATAGTCGCCCTCATGTTTCATGTGACACTGGTGCTGGCCCTCAGTGCCCTGGGACAGCCACAGGCCCAAGAACAGTTAAAGTTAAAGGTGGGAGAAGCTAAGCTGCCCCCCTTTCCTGCCATTGCACCCCTCCACACACACCTGTTTGTACTTTGTGAGTCAGCCTGCCCTGGAATGCCTTTCATGAGGTCCTCCTAGGGGCTGTGGAGGCAAAAGGTGCTGTGATTTCAGCACGTTCTTGGAAGCAGGTCCCATGAGATGCTGAGGGGTAAGATTTTGGGAGTGGGGAGACGTCAGACATCTCTCTTGACCTTTGTTAGCTTTGAGGCCTTGTGTGTACACATTTGGTTTCATAGAGAATCCTGATGTGTTCACCATTATGGACTGTCACCATCAGCTGCTCCGTGCTTTCCTGGTTCAGGCTTTTCCTAGGGATGTATTTGTGTTTACCTTTGAGGGCTGGCTAGCCTAGGGTGCCACTTGGTGTGAGTGACTCTGCTTGAGTCACCCTGCTGTCCCTTGCTCTAATCCAGGATTGCTCCTGCTCAAGGAGGCAGGGGCACTGCAGTGAGGGGAAGGTCTAGTATTCCCAGGCTGAAGGAGAAGTAAAACGAGAAACAGGAGCCAATAGTGTGTCCTGGGGAGGAAAAGAAAAAAGCAGACAGAATAATTAATAATGACCAAGCTCTTAGGTGTGGTTAGAAAGTAGGGACCTTATCACTCTTGTGATAGGACAAACTTGGGCCTATACGTCAAGGACAGAGGGCAGCTATGGAGCATTCAGGGCTGCAGCAGAGACTGGAATTTCCTCTGTGGGCAGGGAATTTGAAGATTTGGATGCAGTAGGGGGCTATGAGCTGGGGCAGAGGGTCCCGAGGGTAACAGTCCTTTGGATTGTGTTTCTGTCTTTTACACCTGCAGGCCCAGTCTCCAGCCCCACATCACCCCGAGGGCCTGTGTCTCCAACTGTCTCCTTCCAGCCCTTGGCCCGTTCCACCCCAAGAGCTAGCCGCTTGCCTGGCCCTACAGTGTCAGCCATATCTGTCAGCCCCTCTTCCTCCTCCTCTTCATTCTCCTCCTCCTCCTCCTCCTCCTCTTCCACCAGCTTGCCTTCTGCAGGTGTTGCTGGTAACCAGGCCAGGGCCTCCATCTGTCCCAGTGAGGTACCCACTACCTCTGTTACTATCAGCTCAGTACCTTCTCCCACCACCCTGGAGCCTGTGAGCACTGTGACCTCCAAAGTGCCTGCCAGCCCAGCACCTGTCAGCACTGTGCTTTCCACGGTGCCCACCAGCTCAAAGTCCCCTGGTGCTAATGTGTCCATCAATCCAGCACCATCCAAACTGCCTGTCAACCCAACACGCACTGGCATAACACCATCCAGAGTGCCTGCTAGCATGGTGTCTACCAAGGCAACGACCAACACTGTGCCATCCAACAGGAGCAGCAGCACAGAAAAGGTGAGTCCTTGCCACAGACCACTGGTGTCTTCCTGGAGGAAACAAGTCCATGAGGTCCTGGGATACCTGTGGGCACTCCATGGTTCTCAGGCCCAGGCCAAATGTGCCTGCACAATGAGTCCATGTAATGAGGGGAATGAAGGCTGCTCTGGAAGAGGCCATCAGAGTAGAATCCCCTCTTCGCTTGGAGTGCTCACAATGGGTTGGGTCCCCAAGAGGGTGATCTTGGGCATTGTGGGCTAAGAGCTGAGGAGCTGAGCTGCTGCTTCATGCCCTGGCCTAGGAACAGGGCCGCCCCAGCCAGGCTGGTCTCCTGTCTTCTACAGACCTTTGCTGTACTCTGCTTTATTTCTCAGGAGACCCCAGAGACTCCAGCACCCACAGTCACTGTTGGAGGCAGCTCACCCTGGCCAAACAGCAGCTCTGGGAGCCTGCAGTTTCCATCAGAAATGAGCAAGCCTGGCCAGCTGGAGTCCCAGCAGGACAGGCAGCCGTGCTCCGTCTGTTCTGCAGACCTTGCCATCAGCCCCAGCAGCTCCCTGGCCTCCGAGCCCAGCCATGGCCCAGAGGAGAATGAGTACAAATCCTTTGGGATGCATGTAGCTGAGGACCCCAGCATCAACATCATGGCTGGCAACCCCGGGCCACACCTTGTCTTGGAACCCCAGGAAGAGCTGGAGGAGGAGACCAAAACCAGCTGGTCAGTGTCCTGGGCTTCCTGGCTTGGTACAGCTGCTGCAAGTGCACTCTTGGCTGTGCTTTTGGCGGTGCTGTACCGGCGGCGCCCACTCCAGTGAAGACTCGGCTTTCTGCATCCAGGCACCCCCCTGTGCCTCACCATTCACTTGTTAGAGTGTACCTTTTCCAGGCTGACAGGCTAGGTTGGAAGGGAGCTCAGGGCCTGTGTGCTAATAGGAGGCTGTGCTCTGGCTTCCCTAAGCCCTAGGGGCAGCCTTTCCATCCTAGTTTGTATGCTCTGTTTGCTGTGAAGCTCTGGGAAGGCCTCTAGAGTTTCAAACCTCGCCCCCCTGAAAGTGAGTGAGGGTTGTAACCCCGTGTGTCCCTGAGGCCTGAGGGCCTCACCCCTGTTTGCGTTAGCCTGCAGATCAGGAGGTGCCACTGGAGAGCACTGAGGGCTAGCAGCTTTTCCTTCCCCTGCCAGGCCCCGAGGCTTAGTTGCAGATGTGTAGACTGGGGACCCTGTGAGACTTTGCTGCTCTCCACAGCAGCCCAGGCTGAGGCTGTGGCAGGGGAGTTGGGAAGCACCCAGTTGTCAGGACTCCAGGGAGCCAGCAGATTTGAGTCTCCTGCCCCTCTTGTCCCTTCTCCACTGCCAGTCAACCCTGGAGGGAGGTCCTGAGGTTCATGTGGACTTGGGACACAGTGGCAGCTGCCAGGCCCAAAGAAGACCACCAGAGGCCCTCATCACTGCTGCCAGCCACTTCACCCCCTGCCTCTTTCTCTCCCCTGGTCACCATTCTCTTTGACTTCCTGTATGGGTTTAGGATAGGAACACCAAGTAGGCAGAGCTTGGGCCAGATTTAAATTCAAGGTCCATCCTTTCTGGGTTGTGTGGCAGTGGCAGATGCTTAGACTTTCTGGTCTTGTTTTCCCTTGTGGACAGAGTCTCTAGCTCTTCCTTCACTGGGCTCTTCTGGGATAAGCATGCAGGTATTTGGCCAGTGCCTGGCTCAGAGGCTTGACCACCAAGCACGCCCCTACCTCCCTTTGGCCCTGCCTGGGTTTCAGAATCAGTACAAAGTGATAAAGGTACATTCTGCAGTGAGACAGCTCAGCCTTCATCCTGCTGTGCCTCTCACTAGCTCTGTGATCTCTAACAAGGTCTTAACCACTGAGTGCCTCATGTCTCTCATCTAATAGGGGAGATTATCTCCTAGTAATATCATCAAGATTAAATGAATTTATGTAAGTCTTAGAATGAGTCTTGGCATTTACTAAGGGTTGGTTAAACCCTTGCTTGTTGCTGTCAGTATTAAATGCTAAGGACTAGAGCCCTCAGCTACAATAAACCAATACCCTTCTGCCTTCTCCACCTTCTGTTCGCCCCTCACTTCATCTTACGCCCCAGGGAGTGTTGGGAGGGAGGTATGACCCTGGGGCAGCAGTGCAGAGCAGGTGAAAGTGCTACCCCTACCTCCATTTATGGGGTGACTAGCTATATGTATAGCAGAGATGTACTGGAACACAGTAGAGGTGCCCTTGTGGGTTCTTTTTAGGTGGCCTTTGCTGGACAAGGTGTAGGCACAGGAGCAGTCTCAACCTCTGGGCTTTGAAACAGAACTAAAGCCCTTGGTGATGTCGGGTGGGCTCCAGGCAACTTTTCCTTGCACTGCACTAAGGAACTTCAGGGTCCTAATGACCTCTGTTTAGAAACAACTTGGAACCTGAGTCCTCATGCTGTCTGCACCACCTCCCATCATCCTTGCTCTGAAGAAGCCCCTTGCCTCCTGTCCCCTGAAAGGTACCCTGCTAGCCAGGTGAGCAAGCAACTCATGCATGAGTTTAGTTTTAGTTTTACTGTACTATCCTCCCAGGTAGGCACATTTGAAAAAAATGTACCCCAAGAAGCCAATAAGCACCTCCAAAGAGTCTCCCAAATGGTGGAATTTCCCTGGGGGCAATACCTTGGGTGGGGTATAGGGAGTGTTGAGGGCCTCCCAGTATTTTCAAATTATGGCATTGAGAATCCCTCAGTACCCTGTGCTTGACAGCAGCCCATCTCAGCTGTTACTAACTGGAAAGCCTCTCAAATGCCACCCTTAAGCAGGGGTGTGAATTGGCCAGCGTCAGGTCTCACGAGACCTGTATTTGGATGTGGCTTGCCCCTTGGGGAAGGTTGGCACGGGAGAGAATCAGGCTGGGTACCCTCACAGCCATGGCTTGGGTGGCTGGAGGCCAGAGCTCAAGGAAGGGAGGGAGAGCCACACCTACCTGGGCCTGGAGTAAGCACACTTGGGGGGCTTTGCCCTGCTTAGCCAGGCCACCTTCTCTCCGGCAGAAGCATTTCACTCAAGGAAAAGCTGGCTGCTTCTGCCTCCCTGGGAAGCACCCATGGACTGCTTTGACCAGGTGAAGCTAGAACATGCTATTCCTTCATCCCCAGCCCTTGGTGGTTGTCCTTGGGTTTAGGGAGCTTCTCAGTCAAAGATGAGACACGCTTTACTCGCCAGCCCTAGAGTCATTAATACCTCTTAAGAACATCTAATATGGACAGCTTTCAAACACACAAACACATACTACAACAGTCCTGTGCCTATTGCCTCACCACGGTCAGCCTGGCTGTCATGCTTGCCCTTGCCTGCTCTGGCTTTTTTCTACATAGGTTCTTGGTAGAAGTCAGAATGTGAAGGATTTGGGAAGCCAAAGGATAGACATTGGGTGGGAGGATGTTGTGCCTAAGGCCTTCTGTTCTCTTAGAGTCACAGTGAATAACAAGGCATCTAACTCTGTTTCTTGGCCTCAGTGAGTGACATCCCACTCCTTAAACTGAAACTAGCTTTTGGTGGCTGCAAGAAAACCACTTGAAAGAAAAGCTGCATTATAGCTCATGGTTTCTGTCTTGTTTTCAGGCCTGTGGGGAGGCAGAATGGAGGGAGGAAGGGAGAATGGAATCCACGCTTCGAGGCTGTACAACCCCAGCAACCTACTTCTGGGCCCTACTTCCTGAAGCTCACAGCCTACTTCCACCACCACCTCGCTGCATATGCCATTTGGTTATAAATCCAGCAATGGTTAATCCATCAGTGACATTCCAGCCCTCTTGATCTGTCTCCCAAAGCTCCACCTCTGAGCATCACTGCCTTGGGGCCCAAGCCTTCAACATAGGAGCTTTTGGGGAGCATTTCAGATCCAAACCAGCACTGGACCCCATCTCAGGAAAAGACCACAGGGACCCTACACTGTCCAGCTCTTAGGGGTGCTTGCTATTGCTCCTGTCCCAGAGGTGACAGTTCACAATAGATGTGCTCATCGCATCAGCAGCTTCCTGAGGCCCTGGCAGCTCTTGCAGCAGGTAGAAGTTCTGTGCTAGGAAAGGTTTACACTCTGTAGTGTGTTCCCTCCTTTTGTCTCCTAGGAATGGAGCCATTCAGGCCTTGAAGTCCACACTTGGCACAAATAAGTGCTGGTGCTGCAGCCTCCCACCCCAGCCTTGAATGTAGATGCTGGGCTCTTGTTCCAGTGATGTGTGCTGGGATTGGTACCTCCCCGTGGAGGACAGCTGGAGCTCACCTGTGTTTCCCTTCCTGTTACTTCTCTTTCAGTGCTTGGAAGTCCACTCTGGTAGTCATTCCATCCATTCCTCATTCTGTTGCTGCTGCTGACAGCACCTACAGAAATAATAGTGGGGTGTAGTTGTCCACACTTGTAAGCGGAGCATTCAGGAGGCTGAGGCAGGAGAATCACCTTGAGGTGGAAGCCAGCCTGGGATATATAATGAATTTGAGGCAAGTCTAAACTACATAGCCAGGGAGATGGCTCAGAAGAATAAGTGCTTCCCTGGCCTGAGTTCTATCCCCGGTTCCACTAAATAAACTACATAGCAAGATCATAACAAAAACAATAACAAGCTCCCCAAATCCCAATAAGCACTTACCCCATACCTTAACTATGTGCCAGGCAGAGTATCAAGTGTTTAACATATATTCATTCATTTAATCTTCAAAATTATCCTGTGAGATAGCATGGGTCCAGTTACCAGCTGGTTTACAAGACTGGGGAGAGGAAGGAATGGAGGAGGCCATGACCCCTGGTTCCCAGAGCTGGATGCTTTTACGTCCATGAACCTCAATTGACCTACTGTCAGCTAGGTGTGTATGCTGCTGACATATATCCCCAGTCCTCAACCTAGTGTCTCAGCCAGGAACCCCATTTAAAATGAAAATTGCACATCAACTCATCCCCGCCCACCTGCTAAAATAGTGTAACACTAATTAACATAGTCTCAGGGATGTCATAACCTTAGATAGGGTTACAGTCATTGTGCATTCACTCAGGTTCAAAGCTCAGAGGCTAAATGAGGTGAGGTAGTGGCCACAAGCCCAGAACACCAGTCCAAGGCCAAAGAGGAGGAAGACATGGACACAATCACATAGAAGGTGGGGTGTGTCCATGCTCTGTGATGCAGGGAAATAGGCTTTCAAATCATTCTTTCATATAATTGTATAACAAATATTTATTTTGTGAATTGTGTACCAAACATTGAACTAGGTCTTGGTGATGAAATAATAAACCAAAGACCAGGGGCTGGTGAGATGGTTCAGTGGTCTAAAGCACCTCCTTAGAACAAGCTTAGCAAAGCACAGAGACCACGGTTCAATCCCCCAGCACCACATGCCAGCCAGCCCGCCCCCTGGTGGGCTGAGCTGGCCACACACACATACACACACACACACACAAATAAATAAATTAAAAAAAAAATAAACCAAAGACCTAGTGCTAAGAGACCCCTCCTTCCAGCCACTGTCTCCAGTATGGTGGTCTCCCAAGTGCCCCTGAGTCGGGAAGCAGGCAGGAAAAAGGAAGGACAAGTAGTATTTTGATCAATTACGCATCATTAACAATTAAAATAAGTATTAATCTGAAGGTGGGATCATAATTTAGATCCTGTAAGGAATACAACCAAATGTTGATGAAAATGTGAAGCAACTGAAGTTTGGAGGAAGGAAGTTGGTGTTGCAGTGTGAATATATGTACCCCTCCACCCGCCAAATTGCTATGTGGAAAGCTAACCCCAGGTGATGGTATGAAAAGGTGGGGCCTCTGGGGGTGATTAGATCTTGGAGGCAGAGCCCTCACTACAGATGCTCAGGAAGAGGACTTCCAGAGCTGCCTCAATGTGGTGAGGTCAACGTGCTAAGTGTGTTTGAAACAAGAGAGTATATTTTCTTGCTTGTTTGTTTGTACAGGGTCTCACTACACAGTAGCTCAGGGATCTCCTGTTTTCAGCCTCCCCAGCACTGGGATCACAGGTGTGTGCCACCACGCCCAGACTGTTGCCAGCTCAGCGCACTTGGGGGCAGGGCCAGCACCACATGGGGTACTGGGGATAGAACCCCAGTCCCTGCACTTGCCTAAGCAGGCGCTTAGTCTGTTGAGCTATCTCACCGGCCCTGAGAGGGTGTATTTTGAGGGTTGTTAATGGCAATGTGCCCTTTATTTGAGACATTGACTTTACTTTTAAAATATATTTTAAAATTTAAACATTTACAGTATACATATTTTGATCATACTGTGTATCTTTGAAGCAGAAAACCAGGTGTTCCCTTGATTTTGGACTTCTCAGCCTTGTGATACTGTGGCTCGGTGCCTCATATATGCTAGGCAAGCACTCTACCCCTGAGCGATAGCCTCAAACCTTTTAATTTGGGGACAGTGTCTCATAAAGTTGCCCAGGCTGGGCTCAAATTTGTGATCCTTCCTGCTTTAGCCTTTAGAGGAGCTGGAATTACAGCAGTGTACTACCATCTTTGGCATAAGAAATAAATCTCAGTTGTTTATACCCAGTCTAAGGTATTTTATTACAGAAGTTCAAATGAACAATTGTGACCCTGTTGGAAAACTGGCAGTATCTATTAGAATCACATAGGCCTCATCTATGACCCAGCAAGTCCACTCCAGGGTATGCTTACTGTAGTAACAAGAACATGCAGTCTGTCCACCAAGATGTGTATAAGAATGCTTCTAACCACTGTACTACCCCCAATAGCTCAAGCTGTAAACCAGCCAAATGTCTATCTCTGGTAGAGTTGTGATAAAGTCATACCATAGAAGACTAGTATACAGCCATGGATGTGATTAAGAATATTACTATACACAACAACATGGAGGGCTGGTGAGATGGCTCAGTGGTCTAAAGCACCTACTTAGAACAAGCTTTAAGCACAGGGACCGCGGTTCAATCCCCCAGCACC